ATAGCTGGTGGTATTCTGCATTGCGCTGTATAATGTACTATTGCTGGGTGTTGTAGTCCTCTATAGCTGGTGGTATTCGGCATTGCACCACTGTATAATGTACTATTGCTGGGATTTGTTGTACTCTATATAGATGGTGGTATTCCGCATTGCGCTCTATAATGTATTATTCGTTGATTTGTAGTCCTTTATACAGCGCAATGCAGAATACCACCAGCTATATAGGAATACAACAAATCCCAGCAATACATTATACATACAGTGTATAATGTATTGCTGGGATTTGTACTCCTCTGTATAATATAAAGCACAATGTACCATCAGCTATAGAGGAATACAAATCCCAGCAATACATTATAGAGCACCATGTGGGGGAGGGAAGTGCAGGCTTACCTGAGCAGAGTCTTCCAGCAACTTGTTTCGTAGATCGGGCCTGTCTATCGGAGGCTGTCATCCCCCCACACCTGCTCCTCCTTACTTCTTCTCCCCGCGTTCCTGTGCAGATCATGAATGCGGGCGGGCGGGTCTGGCAGCTGCGAGCGTGAGGTGGGGAGGAGGTGTGGCGCGCAGCGTGTGTGGAGCCGTGAACAGGGCCAATCGGAAGCCGATTAATCGATGATTGAAAAAGTTGACAACTTTTTCAATAATCGATTATGTCGATTAGTTGTTGCAGCCCTACTCTTTAGTCAAAAGTATGTTTATCTCCATGCCTGGACTTTAGCTTCAAGAATTGCTATGCAACTGACATAGATTTAGGATTCAGCGGAGTGTGATGAATTCGATCCGCACTGACTACTTATAAAATCTTGATTTTAAAAAAAAAAATATTTTGTGACAAAAAGCACATTGAACGTACATTTAAAGGGTATTCTAAAGCTGGATTCAGATCTTACTATGTGTTTATGGTGTGTTTCTACTGATAGTGATCCAAGAAAGAAAAGCACATGGAAGGAGGAGAAATCAGAACAGGAGGTGTCTAGAATAATACAGTGCAAAATTAACACACCAAAATATCCCAGAAGATTCAATTCAGACTTCAACCAATGTTCTGGGTACCCTTTGGAAACCATTTTGGAAATGCGCAACTAAATAGCTCATGAACAATATTCATATAACTTGCAGCACTCCTTACCGCATGTCCCAAAAGGTAACAGGTGCTTGTAATGACCGCGGATGGCACCGCTCACAGTAAAACTCAAATAAAGATGTCACCCATTTAATGATAGATGTCATTTGAAACCTTGTTTGAAGAGACATCCATCAATAAAATGGATTTGCACAGATATGGAATTTGTGTGCTGGTGACATCTGTATTTGAATAGCTCATGAACGAAAGACCTTACACAGGGTGTTAACTAATGCAGACGTGCCACTACTTGGTAATGGAGAAAAACTTACGAAGCAAGAGCCCATGCATTATACCCGCTGAGCAGCAAAAACACTTCTTTTAGACCAGGGGTGGACAAATTAATATGGAATTTAGGAGCCAGTCTGTCCAATCCAGGAGGAGTTAAGAGCCAGCTACATTCACAGCAACTAGAGAAAACCTCAATCGCTGGGGCCCAGCTGTGATTTCTAGGGAGCATTAGCTACAAGTCTCCTGGAATTTCCGGCTCCAGCCCTGTTTTAGACGGTGCTTGCCCATGTATGCTATGTTGTAGCTTTGGCGTGCATCAAGGAGCCTACAGATATCAATGGAAGTACAATCATCAAAACACGTGTTGTGTAATGTATCACAGGAACACACGGCTTTGCAATTCACTCAGTAACCTGCAAAAAAGGAAGCACAATAATGCATATGTGTAAACAGACCCTTATTAAACCTTGAGGATTAGAGCTGAGCACCACTGATAGAGAAGTCAAGGAACAAGAAGACTAAAAATAAAAGTGCAGACATAAATACATACAGTAGTTTAGAGCACTTTTTAAAAGAATGATTCAAAAACAAACAAACAAACATTCACTGGACCACAGAGGTGTAGGCTTTGCAGGAAGTCAAAGAGATATGAATTACCCTGATTAATAGGCAATTGTTTGGTGGCGTGTGAAGTGATTCATAGTGAAAGACAGTTGTTTCTAATCTGACAAATCACCTTTAACGCCCAAAAGGTCCATTAAAGGAACGCGGTCACTTTATCCATGCAGGGACATGTGAAAGTGTCCCTGCAAAAAGTGCCAGTGCTCCCTCACTACTCCCTCCTCCTTCGCAGGCTACAATGTCTGGCACTTTTGGGTATGGAGGAGCACATGACCATGGTAGGCAATTGCTAGGGCGTAGCCAAGCACTGCCAAATGACTGGGAGGAGTGATGTTAATGTTCCCCCAGGTTGCTGAACCGTCATTTAGGAAGAGAAAATAGGGGAACATTGGAGAGGTAAGTTTGGGGTGAGGGTGGTGGAGGTGTTGAGTCTTTGCTGGGACAATGCAACTTTTCCCTGTATGGGCAAGGTGATAGGGTCTCGTTAAGCTGGACTTTTTTTTTCAGAAATGTACTACTTCGCTGGTCCTGTCATTGTTTAAATGATCTCTATATTAAATTTGCCCACAGCTACAAATACTGAAAATAGATCATTCGTATAGATTTCTCGATTACATAAAAAGTGCTGCAGACCGTGAAAACCTTTCTGTCAATGTGTCTGCTAGACAGCGTGATTAATAGCGATGACATTTAAATGTCTGAATCAAGCCGTGCTTAATTATGAAAGCCATTAGCAAGAGGTCGCGGCATCAATATGGCCCCAGATAATGTAAATCTGTGTCTGAGCTTCACAAGAATCCTTACCAACTAGACTGAAGTCTTGCAGCAGAAGGAGGAAAACAGACATGAACACATTAAACACTGACAATTGCAGGGAATGGTACACGTATGACACACACATGTACTGGAAACATACAGCATGGAAGTCAATCTTACGTTTGTCAATAATGAAATGTCAGATTGGGAAATGCTTTGGAACTTCGAGTGAAGCAATTATCCACAGACAAATAATTCTGTATCTGAGTTTAATTGCATCGTGTAGGTGACTTAGGTGAAAGGATTGTAAACAGATCAATAAGTTGCACTTGGAAGGCTCGATCTATACCAAACAAACGTGTCCTGCCACTAGACATTGTCTGAATTAAAGAGGATAATAAGCACAGAGGCCTAAGCACCAGTGTCAACGGGCTTTCGGTTGGTGCCGATGACATCAGCTTGAAACTTTTCCGAGAGCATTAAGAATAAATTCACAGCGTGTCTGCCTTGTAGCACTGAGGGTTCGAATCCCAGCCACGTCACTATCTGCAAGGAGTTTGTATCTTCTCCCTGTGCGTGCATGGGTTTCCTCCAGGTACTCTGGTTTCCTCCCACACTCCAACTACATGCTGGTAGGTTAATTGGCTCCGGTCTAAATTGGCCCTCCTATGTATGCATGCGAGATAGGGACCTTAGATTGTAAACTCCTTGAGGGCAGGGACTGTGATGTGAACCATGTAAAGCTCTGTGGAAATTGTCAGTGCTATATAAATGCCAATAAAATATATCTATGAATGGATGATTGTCATCCAGACTGCTCTCCTGCTATGGACTAAAAACAAGTCTTCCTCTTTTCATCTCCGTTACATGGGGGAGGGGAATAGGTAGTTTACAGGAGATATATGGATAGAAGAGAAGGATTGTCTGTGCTTTCAGTTTAGCTCATAGGAAATGACAAGGACACTGTAGTTTTGGTAAGATCAACTGGGAATCTCTGTGCTTATTGAAATGTTCTAAGCTTGAAACCACATCAGAAATCTGGCAAGCTGCAATATACAGTATATATAATATTTGCTCTTGGATTGAGATATCCTTTAAGAATCTTTGTAAAATAACAGTAGGAAAAAAACAACAAAAAAACAACAGGGCAAACTTGCCAAAGAATGATGTTTGACTTTGATAACTGCTCATATTGTTTACACAGAACTCATATTTGTGCTTTAATCAGCCACCCAAAGGTCAATTAACTGGAAGGAATTTGTACTTTAGACATTTTTTTGGATGCATTAGTGTGAAGTTGTTTACCGCAAGACACACAGAGGGAGACATCCCAGGCAGTGGAATTTAGGAATAGCCAAATGTAAAGCCTTAAAAATTGAAAATTCTCGCCAATACCTCTGTGAAGGTTCTCATTCATCCAGGACATGGTATATCTGTAAAAAAATAAATCAAGGCAACTGAAATCCAGTTGCCTTGATTTATTTATTTTACACATGTTGCCAATATATTAAGGGCCCATTTACATCTGCACAGTGTGCTATTGTCTTTTCTTCCTTAAAATAAACTTGTAATCCAGCTAACTCTGTAAAACTAGGAACCCCTTCTGGATACTAAGGTATATACTGTAAGTTGACAAGCTGTAGCTTTGGTTAAACAGTGTCCAACTGCAAACCAATGCTATACCTTTCTGAGAAAAATCCCTACTTACTCCTGGCACATGATGCTGCCCAGAGCCTTAGGGACTTCAGAAAGCCAGTATTTGCATAGTAACTTCCATAGGTTCTTGCAGAGCTGCAAAGGTTAAAATACAATTTTACAGCCTATGTTTTGTAGTATATAGACTTTGATAGCACTTAGGCAGACCACAGGCGTGTAATTTGTATTCACTGGCCCCAAACAGAGCTTTCAGTGCACATTGCAGATGTCTGCCAATCACTCCCTAAAGCATCAACTGAAGGAGGCGGCAGATCCTGTCACCCAAAACCATGGAAAAATTAAGTTGAGCCTAAGGGTGTGTTTAACATTGCTCCCACCTCCAAAAAGATATGAACACATGTGTTCCTAAATAAGAGTAATCATGCTGACTTTTAGCTTATGCCTACGGGTAGCTTTACATATAATGTTCAAAGATTTGCGTTTTTTGCACACACATGCACAGTGGATAGGGGAAACACTTACTCCATGCAATGCTTTGGGGAGGAGCTGCTCTGGTAAAATTCATCTGCGTCGTAGAATTCATCCTCACTGCTGGAGTATGAGAAGTCTGGGACTGTGTTCGGTGACATATTGACGTGGCTTGGGGAGGTCAAACTACTGCTGGGAACAGACTGATCACTTCCTGTCAGAAGAGAAAAGGTACATGTCAACAATATGACCACATGATGCTGTAAACCTGCTCTTGGCTAAAGTAGATACATAACAGCTCTTATAAGGAATCTGAAATGGTGGCACTCATAAAAGGCAGCATCCATCAGGGTCTCAAACAATTCATCCCCACACAGCTACCTCCTCATGTATCACTTGTCCCTCCCTCTTAGATTGTAAGCCCTCAGGGGCAGGGCCCTCCTTACCATCTTGTCTTGAATTGTAATTATGTCTTCCTTATATTGTAAAGCACTGCGCAAACTGTTGGACGCTATATAAATCCTGTATAATAATAATGTGTTCTGCTTAAAGTAAACATTTAATACATATTATACAGATAAGCTATACCAGCATTTAAGAATGGGTACCACAATGTAATTGCAAGCACATTTAATTGTGTCCTGTTGTCCTTTACATCACTGGATCGTACCCACACAATGAAGAGTGCTTTAGAAAACAAATGAGTTTTGTAATTTTGAAGACAACTGAACAGTATATGGGGGGAAAAAACATCACAAGGGACATTGGTGCTGAGTGGGTTGGAAATGTTTATCAAATTTTGCAATGTTCTATATCAAGAGTACAGGGGGACATGCTCAGCTGCAGCTGATTTCCTGACATTTCATGCAATAACCGTGGGACCTTACCCTGTTGTGGCCACTGGGCTACGCATGCCACAAAAAACCTCACTGAAGTACACAGGGCATGTGTAGTGCACCCCGTCGTTCTACCACACTGCCGCTCCCCCACTTACATTTGCTGGCACTTCCAGGCTGTCAAAATGAGAGCTGGGAGTTGCTATATAAATACAGCAGCTGTCTGACAGTGTTAATAAATTCCTATGCTACGGGAATTAAAATACATGCTTTTAGGTGAGTTTGCAGCTAATTTCTAAACATACCTGAACACAAGTAATGCTTTGCAATACCTGAATGCACACCTAGACATTCAGCAGCATCTAGGTGCATTCAGTCCAGGTGTGCTTACACAAACAAGAATCTTCTGCGTCCTGAGACCACTTAGCTCGGTATTACACACCTAAACGCATGCAAATGCAGCTAAACTCAGGAACATCTAAAAACACAGGAAAAAGTGATCTGGGAAACCTAAAGGTTGTTTAAACGTCCCAGATGACCTCTTCCAGTGTTTAACACGAGGCCCGTGTGCATGGGGTAACACTGTTCAAATGTGAGACATTGTTACTTCTGTATTTACTCTTTAATTTATCTACAGATCAAAAGAAAACAATTAAATCTGCATAGGACGTCCATTAAAGCAACCAAAAAAAAACCCAAAACACAAAAACCTTTGTTTTTTTTTTACCCCCTATTAGTCTTAAGCTTGCTGTATCAGCCCAAATAACTCCTTCCCTTTCTCTGCTAAATTATTTTCCTGGTGATTTTTGGTTTATTTCTATTTTTTAATTCCAATCATTAATATTTAAACTTTTTTCCCCCATTTATTTGATTTCTCATTACCTTTGCAATGCATTGTATCAGAAGAATAGTTTACTTTCATTTTAGGACACATTATAGAACACAATTTATACTTTTTATCTACAGTAACAGTTTCCTTTCAATTAACAGTTATCAAAAGGGACAAATGTTTCTTTTTTAGTTTCCTGATGTTTTCGGTCTTTGAACTGAAATCATTTTTGCAAACACAAGATCTCCAGAAGAAAGTCTTGTTTGCCCAAAAGATACGATATTTATATCACTTTGTTATCCTAAGTAATTACAAACGTTTTGCCCAATAAACAGGCCCATAGCAGAAATGCAGGTCGCTAGAGTGTAAGAGCTGATGAGTTTTGCTATCTAGAGCCTCAGGTGTCCTCCAGCAGGCCTGAACCCTGCAAATAGGTTTGCAGAATTCTGAAAAAACAGAAGCAGGAGCCTTCAAGTATTTACCTCTGGGTCCAATCAGACTTCTGCTTCTCACTTCTCAGACAGCTCTGGGAACTACATGAAGCAGAGGCCCCCATATGGTAGCTTGGTCCAATCTGTCTCTCATACAGATCCCAGCGCTACCCTCAGAACCAAAGTATTTGGAAAGTAGTTGGATAGTGGAACCCAGAGGAAACGCACCTCAGCTGACAGGTAAGCAATTAAGGTGCTTTATATTTTATTAATGTGTAAGGCACAACAAAAATATTTTATTTTAGTTTTACGTTAAGGACCCTTTCAGACGGACGCCTTCAGTTCCAATGTGCAGGAATCCACGGATCCCTTATTGATCATAATCGATGTCACCATTGAGGCATCCGTGTCTGTCCAGTGTTTTCCTCCTCTTGTAAGAATGGAATTACCAGACCCATGTTGTTCTATGGGGAATTGGATGTAAACAGACATGTGTCCGTTCACATCAGATTACCTCTGATCCGGCCAGTTAGATCTATTGAAACGGAACTCTATTCTGCTTGTTTTTCCGGACCTGGCCAGAGCCGGAGATAACCAGATGTAAATGGTCGAACGTCCATTTAGATACGGTTGGCCATAGACCAACAACCCGCTACGATAACGTCCACCTAAAAAACTGACAGGCGGATATGATCAGGATGCCCGTTATTAAGAGGCCTTAGGTAAAAGCTTTCTGGCTTTCATTTTTAACGCTCTAAAACTGACAATGTACTTCTTTGGGAAATGCAGGTCTCACCTGTGCTATTTGGAGTGGGAGTCTGATGGCTGCCGAGGCCAGTTACTACTGAACCAACAGCCAAAGATGATGGACGCTGCTCTCCTTTACCAACCTGCACAGCCTCTGAAAAATAAAAGACCCAATAATGGGCAAAGTCAGGGTCATCTATTATTACACCAAACAAATATTATCAATGTTGTACATGAACATTAGTAAATTGTTTAAACGGATAAGTAAAAATCCGTGAACTGCTGAAAGTATCCAGATTGCGCTGCAAATGTGCTTAAGTCAGAAACCCCACTCAGTTTATCTTAACCTGAATTCTCTGTAATCCACTTAAACAACCAATATGTGGGGTGCATGGGCCCGTTTCCTGAAGCATTCTTCCTCGACCTTCAGCTTAAAGTAACAATAATTAATATCAAACTTTCTAGGCAGGCATGAACCTGATAGGTGTTCGATGTAAAATTTAACTGAACTTAGTAATTACAAATCATAAGCCTGCCTGAAGCTGAAAGACATCAATGCTGAACTCCAGAGAAAAGAAAAAAATACGCATGCAGTAGGGCTCCCTCTGGACTACAGGGGTTAAAAGCTTGTCTATGCCTAGGGTATCAGAAAAATCATGTGTAAGTTCTTGTGAATGACAGCGCTCGTCTCCAGAGAGGCAATGTCACCCCAGCGTGTCCTGGTGCCGAAGCTAGCCGAAGGATCGGCCGAAGCTACGGCCAGATCCTTCGGCAGCTTTGTGAATAGACCCCTCTGTCTCCTTGGCAGCAGCATGGCTGGACAGAGGTGCTAACATGCTTCTTGGCAATGGCAGGATATATTTAAACAGGACCAAGTGCTACATGCACTTGGTGCCCAAGCAGATTAAATACAAATGTCAAATTTTAGCAATGCATCTTTTTTTAAAATATATTCTTCAAGGGCCACAGAGGATATACTTCCACTCTGTGTACACCAATTGCCTTTGCAAAACACAAATATTACCTTAGAAAATAAGTGGTGGCATCATCACCGTGCTGCACATAGCCTGTGTAAAAAGCAGAGCTGCGGGAGGGACACAGCAGGCTCCACCCACTATAGTCTGACTGCAGACTACAGGAGGGGCAGAGACAAGACCAGTCACCTTGCACAAGGAGAAAGAGCAGTAATGACTGGTCTTTATTATAGACAACTGCTGCACAGAGGCAAAGTGCAGGAGTCGTTTTATACTAGATTACCACACAAATATTACGTAAATACACAAATGGCACCAAGATTCAAATAAAAATATGCATGCCTCTTATATTTAGATTTTAGCTTAAAATGTACCTGTTACAAAATGTAAAAAAGTAATAAAGAAGGTTCCCCAATAAAGAAGGATCATAATACTTAACCTGTGCACCTGATCACTTTAAAAGCTACAGTGCACAGAGAACCCTCCTTATCCGCCACATGCCTGGGAATGTTAGATTCCTGGTCCCCATCAAACGCTATAGTTCCTTCCACTATTCCCTATATCACTGCAGCACACAGTAGTGACAGATTCCAGTCGAAGGGAACACACCACTGCAGAACCAAGAAGATCACACTATCAGAAATGTGTTGGATGAAAAGGATTCTTCAGGTACAGTAGCTCTTGAAGATGGATATTATTATTATTATTATTATACAGGATTTCTATAGCGCCAACAGTTTGCGCATCGCTTTACAATATAACGAAGACATTACAATCACAATACAATTCAAGACGTTAAGGAGGGCCCTGCCCCTGAGGGCTTACAATCTATAAAAGGGAGGGAGAAGTGATACATGAGGAGGTAGCTGTGTGGGGATGAATTGTTTGAGAACATGATGGATAGTGAGAAAGTTGTGTGAGAAAGTTGTGTAAAAGTGCTCTTCCTTACAGAGGAACCAGCTTTACTACTTTTTTTTAAAACTTTTGCAACACAAATCACTAAAGAATGCTCCTAAAGAACAGTGAGGATGTATAGGTGCACAACAGCAATGCCTAAATCAAAAACTGATATCCTGAGCTACCCTGAGGCTACATTCCTTATACGAATCTCAATGCTTAATTGTTAGTTACTGGAGCATAACTTTAAGAATCATTTGCCAATAAAAACAAGGACACAAGCAGAAATATAGGCTCTACCTGGCAATGGAACAGTTTGTGTTGGCATGGTTCGTACCACAGCTGGATCCAACGGATTGGGCTGGTAAATAGAATCCACGGGATTTATAGTGCTCTATAAAATACAAGAGTACACTTAGGTTGGAGAGTCGGGCTAAATAGATAAAAGGCAGTGTGACCAATCAAAGCTTCAATGGGGACAGGTCTGAAGACAGGCAAGCAGTTGCTGGGTTCAGATCCCAGCTACCATCAAATATATACTGCTTTCATAAATGCATCAACTGCTTAGAAAGGACATTTTATTTTTCACGAATGTCAATATATTCATCTACTTGTGCTTTGCTTTCCATTGAAGTCTCAACTGAGGCCTTTCACGGTCTGACCAGAGACAGCAGCCCCATTCTGCAGAGGCCCAGAAAAAGAAGTGTAATAAAAGGGCTGTTGCTGTGGTTCCACAATGGCCATGTGATGTTATAAAGATGACCTGTTGATAGAAATATGGGCACTGTCAATTCCAGCTTCATTATGGAGGAGAAAGTGCCATGTATGTCATCTTTACCTTCTTTTTAAGAAAATCATTGACCAGAAAAAGCAAGTAACCAGTGAATTTACGCTCCCAACTCAAATACGTGTACCTGACAAATAATTTAGCAGTGATAAACCTGGGCCCCCTCCTGGCCCATTTAGTGGTGGCAGTGGCATCCCCCCCCCCTTTGGAGCGAGGGATTCACCTGCTGCAACGGATTGGGCCACTAGAGGGGTGTGTCGGTCACACTTTTGAGTAGGCTTGGGTGAACTGGATTCGTACCAAGCCCAGGCTCATCACTACTTATTAGATAGTAAAGAAAGGATAATGATGATGGCCGTGGAAATTACACAGTAAAAAAGAGGTTGACAACTGCAGGTCCCATATTCCTGTCCTTGGAGGTTTCCTTTGAAAACATAGGTTGTGTCCAAAGTTGTAAAAAGATTTCACAAACACAACACACAAAAATGGCATTTGGACAAAGTTTCCTCCTTTCAGGGAAGCTTTCAATAAACCTAAAGTAAACATTTCATAGGAGAAATATGGGGGCTGCAGTTAGAGCGCCTTACCCTGCATACTTGCAAGATAGGGCTGCAGATACACTAACTAAAATCCAAATTAAGCACCTTTGGGGCCCACTCAGCCCATGCACACGCATCAATGCAACCCATTAACACGTTCCGAATTAAGATAAATCCATTCAATCTGAAAGGGCTTGCAGCACAACTTAACGCAATACCACGAGCCAGAACATGTGGCAGGTGTGTATTCATTCTTTATAAAACCCCAAGCACAGTATAAAATGAAAACATTTACATCAAAAACAAAAATCGGGAGCATTACAATTTACAGTGCAAATGAATCAATTATTGGTGAAGGATGGAGGTTAGGAATCACATACATTGATCTGCCAATTCTAAACATGAAATAGAATGGAAAGGTAGTGTACAGGAAAAGTTACAGATGTTAAATTCCTGAATTAGCTAAACTTATAGAAATATATAAACAAACAGTATAACTTTGTAGTCATTGTATTGAGAAAAAGTCATCCAAAAGGTTTTAAAGAATGTGAATACATTTTAATAATGCTTTACTCTTTCTTAATAAACATGAACGGGAGGATGAGGATATAATATTTATCACATGGCCTTCACCTTCGCGCCTTCAACAAGTATTAGAACTTAGTTTCTAAGCAAATATTTAAGAAACTAATTTTTATCTAGTTATGCATTCATTAATTCTATTTTACATACAGCTAGCATTTGTATCACAATCAGTCTTTATTTCAGCCATCTGTAATTCCCTCAGACTGGCAGAGATAAGGGTTCTATTGCTTTGCACAGTGCTTGCTGGTCTCCTTTCTGGAATATGCTTACAAGCATGGAGGACGTGGGGATTGACTCATGAGCTCCTTCACTGTCCTGCCATTGGAATGGCCTCATAAGCTTTGTTACTGTCCTGTCATTGGAATGGCCTCAAAAGCTCCTTCACTGTCCTGTCTTTGTAAAGGCCTCATAAGCTCCTTCACATTCCTGTCATTGGAATGGCCTCACTGTCCTGTCATTGGAATGGCCTCATAAGCTCCTTCACTGTCCTGTTACAGGCTGAGGGAGCAGACCTTCAGCATCAATTTTCCCTACAGTCACTCATCAAAAGGGTGATCACCTTTGCCATTACTTAAAGAGGAGAAGGTGCTAAAACTGTGCACACAGAAGACATCTACAGCAATAATAACGCATGACAGTATTATAGGGAAATAATATTTGAAATAATATCCTGCAAGAATGATTTTTGCCAGGAGTTTCACTTTAATGTTAATGCAATTTCTATGTTTACACACTGTGTAGCTTTCATGTGAACGGCAGTAACACTACTCAAAGTCCACATGGATTTTACCATGCTCTCAGCACAGAAACTGGCATTCTTTTGATATTATACTTGAATATCCTAAATATAGGCAGGTGTGAAGAAATGCTGTACTATAAGAATGATTTCAGAAATAAAAGTGTTAATATTTTATTTTTATCAGTTAACAAAATGGAAAATAAATGAATGGAACAGAAATCCAAATCAAATCAATATTTGGTATGACCCCCCTTTGCCTTCTTCTAGTTACACTTGCACAGAGTTTTTGAAGGAACTCGGCAGGTAGGTTGTTCCAAGATCTGCGAGAGAACTAAGCACAGATCTGGATGTTGGCTGCCTCACATCCTTCTGTCTCCATGTAATCCCAGACATACTCCATGATGTTGAGATCAGGGCTCTGTGGGGGCCCAACCATCACTTCCAGGACTCCTCGTTCTTCTTTATGCTGAACATAGTTCTTAATTACATTGGCTGTACGTTTGTGGTCGTTGTTCTGCTGCAGAATACATTTGGGGCCAATCACACTCCTCCCTGATGGATAGCATAGCATGATGGATAAGTATCAGCTTGTTTTTCTCAGCATTGAGGACACCATTGATCCTGACCAAATCTCCAACTCCATTGGCAGAAATGCAGCCCCAGACTTGCAAGGAACCTCCATCACGCTTCACTGTTGCTGCAGACACTCATTATTGTACCGCTCTCCAGCCCTTCGGCGAACAAACTGCCTCCTACTACAGCCAAATATTTCTCATTTTGACTCATCAGTCCAGAGCACCTGCTGCCATAATCTCAACATCGAAACTGTCTGGGATTACATGGAGACAGAAGGATTTGAGACAGCCGTCATCCACAGAACATCTGTGCTTAGTTCTCCTAGATGTTTGGAACAACCTACCTGCCGAGTTCCTGTGTGCAAGTGTACCTAGAAAAATTTATGCTGTTTTGAAGGCAAAAGGGTGGTCACACCAAATATTGATTTGATTTGGATTTCTCTTCCGTTCATTTACTTCCATTTTGTTAATTGATTAAAAAAAACCTATAAAAACACTTTTATTTATGAAAATCATTCTTACTGTACAGCTTTTTTTTCACACAGTACTGTATATATAATTTTAAACTGCAAGCCTTATGAAAAGAAACAACAAAGGAAATGAGATGCCTTTTGGTCACTTGGTGATTTTCTCAGTATTAGTAATACTGACCTCAACTCTAGACCTGCATAACACAAACACATACACAACCCGCTGATATATTTACTCACATATAAAACAGCCAGAGTTGGAAACATGAAGCACTTGCTGGTACAGTTTAAAAGTAGAAGCCAATCTCAACAGTCCAACAACGCAACAGACAGCATGCTGGTATGGGCTCACCATCCAAAAAAAAGTGTAACAGCAGTACGGTAATATGCACTGTATTGTACTGTAATATGTTGCAAATTGCATGAAAATGCAATAATAAATATTTTCTGCAACAAAATTTCTACTTAATTTATCAACACTCGAAACATAATATATGAATGCTTGAGTGAAAACAGGGGGGAAAAACCTGCAAAATTAAAACAATGAGAACCTGAATGTAAAAAAAGGGTGAGGGGCATTTATTTATGCCATTAAATGGCTGAATGTGGCTACAGTAGGGAATAGTTGGTGATTCTTTATAAACTGATAAAGGAAATAGCAAAATACATTTCCCTGGTTATTGTCATTTTATTGGAAAACAATTAGAGGAGAAATTGGTCAGAGCAGCTTACAAACGGGTTAAACCGTGGGCAATAACCATGGCAAAATATCAAATGTGATGTTAGCATCGTACTGGAAAAGGTAAGCATATAGCAACAGAACTAATTAAATACTTGCCATGGTGCTCCAGATTTCCTCCGGGGTTGTCCATATATGTGAAGGCCTAGCCACTTGGTCACACACGATCAGAGCATTTTCCTCTAAAAGCAAGTATTACAGCCCTTCTAATAGCTACATGTGAGGTATAGTGATACCTCACATGTAGTTAAAGAACATCTCTCTGCCCTCTCTCATAAAATGCTTGATTCCTTCATGTTTGCATGTTACCAGGGAAATGTTAGATTAGGGTTTTGTGGATTTGGAATTTTAAGCACTAGTTCTTGGAGGAGCTGAAAGAAAGAAATACAGAAAACACGAAACAGATTGAGCTCATAGAACTCACAGAACATAAATTGGACTTTCTTCACTGAAAAAACTGAGCAGATCACATGCTTTCCCTGACAGCTGTAATGTTTGCAATGAAATGAGAAAATATATAATATATAACATATTACTAAATCACACAGTTACCAGAAATGCAGGAAACAAAGTACAATAAATTATAGTAATCCATCAGAATGCAGTCAGATCAATAGCACTCAGGTTGGAGTTAGGGATTAGTGCCCTCTGCTGAACACAGAATGGCTCCTTTCCGAAAGCAGCAAAAAGACATTTCACAGAAACAATTTTAGTGTTAAGATTGGGGAAATGATTACTCTGAGGAGCAGGTGAGGTGACAAGATCAAGAAGCAGAGTAAGAAGATCAAATCTTCCTGAGATCAGGTGAACTTTCTGCAGGAATAAAAGGAAGTGAAACATTACGTATAAACTTACTAGAAGTCCATCTGCGTGCTTGTCCTCGTTAGTTTGGTCCTTAAGAAAACAAATGTTAACATTGAGAACATGCAGGAAAAGTTTAGGGCACATATAACAGCTCCTGATCTGACATAGCAGTAACAATTGTGGATCTTTTATAAAATAAAAAAAAAAACACAAAAGCATCCAGATTCTGGCTGTCCATCTTTTTTACTACGGAATCAAAGTATAAAAGCCAAAATACATGCCATGCTCTATTTTATAAAAGATCTCTGAAATCTCTGTGCTGTGGCATGGATTGCAAGCATGCATCTCACTGAAAAGCTTTTGGGCCCATTCACACCGGATTTGTTGTACTGCGATACATTTTTTTCAATGGATGCTAATGGAAGGGCACCGAAAAATGAATGGGGCTAGTTCACAGCACCCCATTCTGTTGCGTTACGCTGCGCTGAACATGACAATTTTTTTTTACAGCCCAATGTAAACCAACAGATCCGGTGTGAACTAGTCCCATTCACACCCACTCATTTTTCGGTGCCCTTCCATTAGCGTCCGCTGAAAAATGGATTGCAATGCAATGGATCAGAAGGAAACCAGAAGGTACAATGGCAAGTCAATGGACCCTCTATTTCCTTCTAAGTTTGGTGTGAAAGCACCCTTACATGAAACGAGTACTGAGAAATGGTGTATTTCTGATCTGGTCCTGAAAATTCTAGCTGCCTGACCTCAATACTTTGAGTTACCTATCCAGAGCAAGCATGTAGTTCCAGTTTCGTGACTCAAGGTGCTAGAGGCATTCACATTTAGGCAACTAGCATTTTCAGAAGTGGTCAGAACTGGCAGCCTGTTTGCTTCCCTAATACAGGTTTCCTTTAGGACCTGCTTTATATGTGCTTCAGTACGTAGAAAAGCAGTTTGAGCAGCAAGCTTTTACAAAGTAATTGCAAAGGATTTAGCAAGCTTCAATCAGCTTTGTTAAAGCCATCAATGCAAACTTGACTTCCAGCATGGGGATGTTAAACATATTTTATTAAGACTGCCGACTGTCATTTCAAACTAGCTGCTTCAGCAGGTTTTTAGCAGATGTCAAGCAGTGTTGCGGCATACTACAGAGGCATACTACAGCCTACTGCAGGGGTAGCCAATGTTTGTCTCCCAGCTGTTATGAAACTACAAGTCCAATAAGGTATTACAAGACTGGAGACCCACAGGCGTGACTTCTAGAGGCAAATGCATGATAAAATTTGTAATTTAACCACAGCTGGAGGGACGATTGTTTGGCTACCCCTGGCCTACTGCATGTAGCTTGTTTAAAGTGACACTCCAATCAAGATCTGTGTTTTATCTTCCATAACTGGAGCTGTAATCTTTGCCACTTTTTTCCGTATAAGCTTCCTGTAAACATTGCCCTTATACAAGCTGAAGCCAATGTGTAGAAGGACTTAATGTGTTCCTAGTATAAAAAAAAAAAAAAAAAAAAAAAAAAAGATTAATCTCATCAGGCAAAGTGTGTATTTCTGGCATTTCTGGAGGGTTTGCTGCAGTGCTGGTTTATCTTGAGGGGAATCAATATCAAATGGCTGGGAAAAGCCATCTCAGCCAATTGCTTTGACTCCCGAGATAGCTTGGTCAGGTTCATTCTGGTAATGCCAACATACAGCTCTTTTGCAATCCAACCATAAAAATAAAAAAAAGACAGAATCAGGCAAACAAACATTCTCCTATGTAAGTACTCCCTTTAAGATTAATACAGATACATACATTGTCATGACACTGTGGTTGATAGTGAGAGACTAAAAATGGATGTAGATTACTAGGGCTCATTCACATCTGTGTGCTTGTGTCTGGCATAGCAATCTTTTTAACACAGGAATACATAGGAACAATTCAAACAGAAATGTTTTGAACTTAGGCTGTTCAGATGCCAACATTGCATAGCAGTTTGGGGAAAAACATGCTATTTTTTCACCAAACCACCACACATAAAAATGATGAATTACTTCAGCCACATAGATTTGAATGGGGCCTTCTAAATGTTGAAAAACAGAGTCACTATGGCTTTGTGTACAGGTACATACAGTATATTACATAGTGTGTCTGGTTTATACAATTGTAATTAAAAATATTCAACCCCCATTGCAAAATTTGAGTTGTTTGCAATGAACAAATCAAACAACAGCAAACTTAAATAGGTTAAACACAAATGAAGGTTTCAAGTGGTTTCCACAAATTCAACTGGAAATGCAGCTTTTAGTGACTCCTGGAGTCTCAAAATTATTCAACCCCTGAATAATGTAGAATCCCTCTGAGATTTCGGAGAAGGCAGGTTGAGAAAAACCCTCAATTGACTGCAAAAGACCTGCAGCAAGACTTGGTGGCAACAGGCATAATTTTGCTGTTTCATGTTTCAGTTTGCACAGTAAGGTTTCCATTTTGCATTTTTCCAGGTTGCATTTTTAGTTGAATTTGGGGAAACCACTTGAAACATTCGTTGTGTTGACCCATTTAATTTGCTTTTATTTGCTTTTTTCATTGCAAACAACTGAAGGTTTGTCAATTTTGCCAATAAACCTGATTTGCAATGGGGGTTGAACAATGATTACAACTGTCTATAAATTTATATTGCAAACACACAGTGAATGACCTGATAACAGGTGAATAAAAACATAAAAGCAAAAACTGCAACAAAACACAACAGTTTGTTGTTTTGTTTAAAAGGGTATGTCCACGGGAAAAGGGCATTTCAATTATGGGTGAAACTGGTGAGTTAAATCTCCGACTCCAGTAGCACTGGGGCTCCATGAATCTCACTCATCTGGTTAAACTAAAAACAAGTTCTCTTCTCCCACTGATTTGCAATGATGCAAAATTCAACAGGGAGGGGGAGACCACCAGAAAATGACTATAGAAGGTGGGAGCTCAGTTTCAGAGGCAGAATGCACCACTGAAGTCCCTGGAAGACAAGAGGCTGGTGGCAGATTCGGTCCGATTTAAATGAATGTTTCTATTTCAGCACTCATCAGATGATCATTCTAGTAAGCTAGAATGCAGCAATTTCTGCGTTTTTTCTGGATTCAATCACATATGTTAACATCGACCGTTCTGCAGTCTTACCAAGATCAGCTGCAGTTTAAAAAGCACCAATGTTGCCAACACATGGACATTTTTTGGAATATGACAGAAATGTGAAAGATTCAAGCAGCAAAAATACACATGTTCAATGAAATGCCTAATCTGACCCATTGGTCAGGGTTAGCGAGTCAAAGTATTGAAACCAATCATTCCATGTGATAGCCAGGAAACTATTATTTCTAAATGAAGAAATCGTAAAACACAGCTCACACACATATTGGTACAGGGTTCCTTCAACTGAAGGTGAATGCTGTATAAAAAATAAAATTAAACCCCCCCCCCTACATACCGCTCACATTTTTCTACATTCTTCTCTCATTCTTTCTTTCTTCTAAACCGCCTTGTATCATTTTTGTTGATCAGCATGCAGTTGTTATGGGACGGAAGCTCATGACTAATTACGGGATCTATCGGAGTAGCATATATAATTTATACTGCCAGGCCGTAATGTGTTTGAATACGCAAGGTGGTTATCACATGTTCTTCCAAGAATGTTTGGGTCATTTTTGACCGACCTTTTGTATTATCTGTACGACTGTTATCTGTCTTGCTTTTTTGTTTTGTACAAATATTGAAATACCTATAAATAAAGAATTTATAAAAATAAAATAAAATTAAAATAAAAAAAGTCTGATTTTTTTTTTCTTTAACCACCATGAAAAAGGTGCATCATAACGATGGATATTTTTTTAATCATTAATGTGCGCTTAGACTTGAAGTGTTCATTTGTTGTTTTTTTTAAAGGGGATAATCCTTTCGACAATTAAAAATAGGTAGAGAACATTAGGTCCTGAAAGAACAGAGCCATTTTGGAACCCTGGTGCAGCAGTAATGAGCTTACGTAGCTGTGTAATCAAGAATAAATGACAGCGGAGGGGTTCTGCAGAAGGCAGATGGAGGTACAGAACATATGCCGCAGGATCACAGGTCAGATTTTAATGAAACGTGTAAGGCAACCCCCACTGTTGCCTAAACATAATTAATTAGTGTTAGGAATAAATATCATCAAAGACATATTAAGTAGCACATTTTTTCCTGAAGTCAGCGGGTAGCCAATTTATCAACAATGCAGAAGCAACAGGAAGAAAAATAATTCCATGTTAATTAGCCAAATGGAAGGCTACAATCTGCTTCTAACATGTGATGGCAAAATGGGAAACGTGTCTTCCACATAAAAGTGAACACGTGCTAATGCGATCCAAATGTTCTTAACTAACGTGTTGAATAAAACCCACAATGCTCTTCAGTAAATGCCATGTCAGATGAACGATTATGCTGGCCCACTCTAACAGAGCATATATTGACTGAGCATCTTGCCTTTTCTCTGTTCTCTTTGTAGTGTTTGGCCTGTCGGTCTATTCCTCTGAGGAATCACAGTACATAACCAGAGTGTAAAGAGAAGCTCAGCTAAGTTCTGCTCTCTCTCTATATACTTCTATAAATTACCCAGTGCTGGTGCTCACATAGAACAAGATCAAGACCGCACTTGAGAAGACACGGCGATTGGTATGCGAGGCTTCCACGTATCAGAAAACATATGCAACATGGACCTTGAATATTATGATTTTAGACTGGGATCACACATGCTATTTTTAGGCGCCTGAGTGAAAAAATAAGCGATCCAGAAGTCTTTCGGTTGCTTAAGACACACTTCCACAAAAGCACAGCGAAAGACCTGTGGGCAAGTGCTCTTACATAAGGCCATAGATGAGTTGACCATGTATCAATGAGCTCCAACACATCACATCTTTTTGGCAGCACAGTTAACCTTAGCTAGAAACATTTTTTTTTTCTGTTCATGGAATTTACACACAGGGTGGATACTATCATGGTTAATGAATGTTTAATAAGTGTCCTGGAGGATAAACATGGAAGCTTTTTAAGCATTTGGGAACCTTGGACGCAAGCTCGCCACCCAGGAAAGGATCCTGATAGGTTTTAATTTCTCTGACTGGGGGAAGGGGTTGCCTAGGACCACCTTTCTCATTCTCTTCTCTTTTTGTCTAATAAGTTGTAGTTTAAAGTTAATTTGAAGGTATGACAACTTCTAAGCTTGTGGACTGTATAGTCAAATTTTTCTCCTGGAAGAATTTTTTTGCAGTAATTCCTTCACTGTGATATTTTGCTACTACATTACTTATATATGTAATGTTTATACACAAGCGTTGAAAATTTTGATTGCTATATTTGTGGAAGGTTGTTATGTCTTTAACAAACTTTCTATGAAAAATATAAAAAAAACGCTTATATGCTATTTTAGTCGTGCAATGAATCTCAGTTTTAGGCACTCCAGATTAGTCACACCATTAGCAATCACCACATATTATTATTACTAAAACTAAACAATAAAAGGTGATCAGCGCCAGTAAGTGTAATGTGGAAATATGAGCTACCAAGCACTAAGGATATAACTAAATATCTGGAAAATGTGAAAAACAATATTGTGCCGAGCTAATAATCATACATATCTAATAAATTGAAACATATATAAATGAGTCACATATATGAGCCTTCAAACAAATGAGGCATAAGAAATATCTACACAAATACAAAAAAGCAATATAGGCAAAAAAAGTCCCAAGGAAAAAACAAACGCAAACAATGGTGATTGTGCAAAAAATTCCTCAGATGATTCGCAGCCAATGTGCATATAACTCTCAGGTAAGGATAATCACACAATGCAGGCAGACCTTCACCTCCACCCAGTGAGTGATGATAACAAGTGAATGCTCACCTGGGGAGGTAGACCCACAGAGCTAGGTCAAATGCACTTTTTCCCTTCTTAATGGGGGAGGGAAGCCCATGCACAGAAAAAGGCGATAAGGTCTCCTCAGATCACAGGTACCAGTATAAATCCAGGTGGAAAGAGAAAAAGGACAAGGACATAGTGCGTAACGTCCAATAAAATGCAATTTATTATATAAAAAATGCGTACTCACAATGGTGTAAACAGTACAGGCATTGGGTATTGCTGGATCATACCAGCAGGACAAATGGCAGCAAAGTGATAAGAAAACTGTTCGTCCGGCTCCTGATGTCACCACGCTGAGTCGGACGAACAGTTTTCTTATCACTTTGCTGCCATTTGTCCTGCTGGTATGATCCAGCAATACCCAATGCCTGTACTGTTTACACCATTGTGAGTACGCATTTTTTATATAATAAATTGCATTTTATTGGACGTTACGCACTATGTCCTTGTCCTTTTTCTCTTTCCACCTGGATTTATACTGGTACCTGTGATCTGAGGAGACCTTATCGCCTTTTTCTGTGCATTTTCCTTTTTCCTTTTTTTCATTTTCCTTTTTCCATTAAGAAGGGAAAAAGTGCATTTGACCTAGCTCTGTGGGTCTACCTCCCCAGGTGAGCATTCACTTGTTATCATCACTCACTGGGTGGAGGTGAAGGTCTGCCTGCATTGTGTGATTATCCTTACCTGAGAGTTATATGCACATTGGCTGCGAATCATCTGAGGAATTTTGTGCACAATCACCATCGTTTGCGTTTGTTTTTTCCTTGGGACTTTTTTTGCCTGTATTGCTTTTTTGTATTTGTGTAGATATTTCTTATGCCTCATTTGTTTGAAGGCTCATATATGTGACTCATTTATATATGTTTCAATTTATTAGATATGTATGATTATTAGCTCGGCACAATATTGTTTTTCATATTATTATTACCGATTTCAAAAGGAGGATGTAATTAATTGCAAGTTGTAGTAGTTTAATGGAATTTCCTAAAGCCTTCATCTAGGTACTGAAACCATGAGTTAAAATAGTACTTCACTATATTTTCTACAGCAGGAAACTGGATGCGTAACCCTTAATCTTCTGCACATTTTGTTTTTTAAAAAATGCTTTCAAATCGCGCATACATGAAAAAGCATGATCGTGCAATTTTTGCAAATCTTGTGACTAAAGCTGGCCATAGACAGTTCAAAGTTTTGATTGATTCCTGCTGAGTCGGTCAAAATTCAAGTTAATTATCGGACTAACAGTGACTGTACCCTATCAGATGCATTTACTGTTTAGGTGCTAAGGCGGCCACAGGTGCTGCAACTACCGGAGTACAATAGCATGGCACTGGAGATTCCTCCATCCACACTGTTTAGTATGGATGGCAGGATCTATAGATTCTCTCTCATTCAGATCATACCGGTAGGAAAGCTAGCCGTGTATAGCTAGCATAAGAGTCACCTGTGTGCCCCAAGAAGAGGATTTTACCGATGTTACCTTGTCATAATTAGCAGAACTGAATCCTGGGGGCTTGTGTTGTGCACTTGTAAACCTTTCATCTTATGCACCTATCTTATGACCTTTCCCTCGGTATAAACTGATTAAGCAATCTGGAACTAATTTCAGCTTTGCATAGTTTCTGGCAAGTGAAAGGTCAGCTTCTTAGATCTCTTTGCCATGAGATGTCTCAGAGGACTGGGGACTCCAGTGGAGACATTGTCACCAGAATATTACAATCAATACAAGAGCTTATGCACTACAAACGCAAGAAAGTGACACTTTATTATGGTGTTGTGGGAATGGGCGGAGACATTTTCCAGCAGTCAGTAAAAAACCCATTTATCCAATTTAGTTGATCAATAAAGAGCTGGTAGGATAGAAAGAACAGAAAGATGACAGTATACATCTCATTAACCAGTGTCAATGCCTTAGACTTGCAAAATGGGTCAACAGCTGGGGACAGCACAATACTAATTCTGGGGTAACAGAAGAATAAAGCAATGCTGCTTCAAACCATAAGATGCCAAGATACTGTATGGTACACTGAATGGCCCCCACTAATTCCCAGTCCCAAAGAAGGATTTGCACGGTTTAAGTAGATGTAAACCCTCTAAAGATTTTCATATGTAACGTGTTGTCTTAAAGTGTATGTAAACAAGAGGCTGCATCCCGGGCACCCTTTCAGTTTCACAACCTATTCTTTTTACCTATTTTATAGAATTACCTGATGATCATATCAGCACTTCTGTTTTAAGAGTGACAACGCTCACTCGTTGCTTTGGAGCGTTTAAAGACGGACCTGTTTTCTCTCTACATGCATGCTTGCATTACCAATTCACAGATAGTGTCACACTATTTGTGAATGTTATCCCAGGAAATAGCTACGCCCTTTCCTTCCCTTGACTGACAGCAATCCTATAAAGTCATCAACATCAGGAATTGATGCAACAGTGCCTGCTGTGGCTCAGATCCCAAGAATACAGCAAGCGGTCACATGATCCTTGTGATGAAAATAAAATGGTATTTATGCTGGAAAGTTTTTATTTTACACACTGGTCTGCAGTTTGCCTTTGCAAGTACCTCAGTTATAGGCACTTATACAAGGATTTCTCATATACTTTAAACACAGGTGCAAACCATGTCTGCTTTTTCCAAGGTTTCTCGCCGGTGTGCTCTCAAATCATTGCTGCTGCCTGGCACAGATTTTTTTCTCATGCACACCTACCCATTGTACAAAACCTGCATCTGACCGACACACCTGGCTTCCAAATGCCTTCTAGAACCTAGAGACATGGCACATCGCTTCCAAATTCACCCTGCTCCCTCTAGAGACTGCTAACCCTGGTCAACATTTCTCAAAAGGCACAAGCCTCAGAAGTAGGAACATTTGAAAAGGAAGATTTATGTTTTTTTCACCAGCAGATAAAATAGTTTTAATAATTTTACAAAACAAACAGTCACATGCAAAGAAAAAGGTGATTTTTTTTATACAATATGGTAGAAGGTAAACATGACTTACCTTGGCAATCTGCAGCAACACAATGCAGTGCTTGATGGATTCTACCATACTCTGTAAATAGATATTTTATGACAATTACCAGCTACACTTGGGATGGCAACATATTTAGCCTGTTGTGCATGTGGTATATTAGCCAGCTTGGCGACTGCAGTTGAACATATGATGAAAGCCTGAATAAGCATAGCCAGCCTCCTGGGCCTTTCACTGGTCACTCAAACTACCTAATCCTCCTTAAACTACTGTCAGGTTAACTCATGGGAAGGATAGGCCCCAAGATCACCTTCTGAAGAAAAGTCAAGATATGCAAATACATTTTATTGTTTATATTGCTGGATCAATATTCACTAAAGGGTAATTTTTTGTAACTTTTTTTATGCTTAGTTTGATTTGCTCCAGTTTTTGATATGCTTACTTACTACTGTGAGAGTCCGGGTCAATTGATTTTTGTTAGCTTCAAACGGGTTTTGCATTACCATATATGTTTATGGCAATGTGGAACCCGCTTGAAGCAGGTCAAATGCACCCGTCAATTAGGGCTTGTTCACACCATTCAATGCGTTCAGGGCATGCTTCTGTGCCATGAATGCACTGGATCGCATAAACAAGGCTCCCCACGTTCTGCACGCATTATTTTTTTGCGATCTCACCCCATTGGAACGCAGGGTATTGCGCTACCACGTGTTCTGGTGCGGCTGATTGCACTGCAGACGGGAGGCATGTCTGCGGTATCATCGACATGAATGCAACCACCCCGCCCCCTCCAGCCCCAGAAAGCTGCGAGTCTGTGTTTATGTGATCCAGTGCATTCATGGCATGGAACTGTGCCCTGAGAGCATTGTATGGTGTGAACAAGCCCTAAATGATCTCAGGAGTGTTTTAAAATGATGTTAAACTGATGCTATCGACACAAACCCAAAGCTTGACATACTATCTCTATATAAAGCATGACCATCAAATGCCACCACTCTTGTTTAAAAGGAGAACTATGAGGTGAGTGCTTTTCACTCACCTCATAGTTCTAGCCGACCTGTGACAATGAGACTGTCACAGGTCGGCTCAGTAGATCGGGAGGTGAGCGAACACATACCGGGTTCGCTCACCTCTCGATCCAGTCACGGCTCTCTGCCGTGACAGGGGAGGGGCTGGATTCCCCGCTCCGCCAGCGCAGACTGGCGGATCGGACGGGGAGGGGGTGGGTACAGCTGGCTCTGCCTCTAGATAGGCAGAGCCAGCTGTCACTCACGCAGCTGGGCGGATCCAGACATAATTGTTGGGGATCCGCTTCAGCTGCGGCGTCTCAGTATACCGCAAGCCGTAGCTCGCGGTATACTGAGCTTAGGGTGATGGGAGGACGCTAGTTTGTTACCCTAAGGAGAACTATGGGGAAAAGCCTTAACCCCATAGTTCTCCTGTACTTTAAATCCTCTTTATTCCCCCCCTCCTCCTCCAATGTTTCTGAACAGTTCACTAAATTGCCTTAGACAGTAACAATCACCAGACTCATCAAGCAGTATTAATGTGTGAAAGGCAGAGTACCCCATCTACAGGATTCTAATCCCATCCCAAAGCCTCACCAGCATGATGCCAACACATTATAAGTGGACATGCACAGATCTGAGGAGAGGGCAATTTAAAGGGCTTTGGGGGGTAAAAACAGTACATAAAAGGAAACTCAAAATCTAGATGAGCAGCTATCTTAATTTAAAACAGATTTAAGAACCTAGTCATCAATAGTACCCATTGACTCATAGAAAACAATGTGTGTTCATCCAGAGACAAGGACACTTAATGGGATATTTGTTCCCCTTTCCCATTTCAAATGAAGTGAATGTTTGCCGAACTCAACAATCCATAACTAGATTAGAACAAGCAAGAAATTCTGGCCAATTAAAAGGGTACAGAGCAAAGTAGGTATAAATGAAGATCAGTTGCAAAAAGTATTAAAAAATGTAAACATTTTTTGATACTTTTTGCAACTCCGATCCTCATTTATACCTACTTTGCTCTGTACCCTTCAATGGGCCAGAATTTCTTGCCTATTCATTCATAGAACCTGATTGATATTTCCAACAGAGATTAAGTTAAAAAATGTAACAGCTTGAGATTAAAGCACAGCTAAAATACCTCATTAAAATACAGCAGAGGTTCAAAAGAAGCGCCAACCCAAACCATGACATATTTAATTTAAAAAAAGAGGATATGAAGTCTGCATGCACAATAGATAAAATGCATTGTTACTGCTGACCCTTTGCTAGCAGAGATGAATCAAGCTGGTAAAGTGACTACAGGAAGGTGCTCGCTCCTTCATGCATTCTACAGGAACACAGACAGGTGCCTTTTGGAGCATGCGAGATACAATTTTGGATACAAGCGGATTGAACATTTACAGGGTTATTCACAAAAGAGTTTGGAGAAGGCAGGAGAAGTGAACAATCTAGGACAACTTAGCTGATGTGAAAAAATTCTCCAATTCAGCTCACTTTCCAGTTCAGCTATGTTGCCCTAGAATGTTCACTTCTCCTGCCTTCTCCAAACTCTTCACCCTTTTGTGAATAACCCTGATAGAGAGTACTGGGATTGCTATAAAGTGTACCTTTGCAACCAATGCATATCATTATGCTGGAAAGCAAGGCCAATACATACTAAATAGTTGCAACTCAGTTTATACAAGTATACTTGCTGCTTTGATAAGCAAGGTAATCTAAAAACACTTTTCTTACAGCTTAGAGTTTCATTGATTATAAATGTATATGCGGTAGTACTAATATAGCACACCAACGTATGACTGTGACTGGGACGGTGTGGACACAGATCCTATTTTGCCTGTGGTACCCTTGAGCAGTTAGATATGCGGCCTATGCCTATGAACACAGTAATAAAATGGTGTACACAGGCTTATGAGGCCCATTAAAGGATAACCCATTAATAGATGCAGAAGTATTTGAGTATGCATTCTGAGCTTTAGCAATGATATGGTTAAAGTCCAACATCGTGGGCCAGTTCTAAATATGAGGAGGACTGCTAGGCTGCTGACATTTTACATCAGACATCCAGGACTCACACATTAGTAAGTACTTCACTAAATATTTACTTGCCATCTGTATCTATACAAAGTCTGCAATTTAATGGTGGGCAAGAAACTGTCCTTTGGCTCTGGAGCTGTCAGTTTTCTAAATACAGAATTGTGGGATATCTTTGAGGAGATTGGTAATTGACCATTTATGTCCAATTTCTCTCCAAGTTTTTATATACCTCCCTTATACCTTTTTCTCTTTTTTAAAAAAAATTAAATATAAATTTGTTTTGTCTCAGAATTCGGTAAGAGCCTTCCTCAATATTCTTGTACTTCTGTGCGTCACCCCAGACAGTTTACTTTGATGGAGACCACACTAAATGGACTATATACTGTATATAAAATAAAAAATTAAGATTGTATTATTTTCTTTGAAACACACATCAAGAATGATGACTTTTCTCAAAAAAACAATTTACAGCCACACAGACACCTGAGGATACATACAAGCTAATAGACGAATACCAGATCCACACCATTTGTTACAGAACAAAATTAAATACGGTAGATATGAAATTAGCAATGACTTCTGATGTAAGAGTCGCATCTAATTGATATATAACAAGCCTCTAAGGATCACCGTGCGTGCAAAGAACAGCTGCATATCATTTAGCAGTGAACCCTCCATGGAATGAATTAACACTTTTTTAGAAGACATAAATAACATCACTGCAAACATGGAACATACTGTATGCAGACAGGTCTAGAAAGCTTTATTCACTAAGTGAGGTGGAAGCGATAGGAAATCCAAGGGGAACTTGCCCTTAAGGCCCCATTCACACGAGAAAAAGCCGGCACGTACAGCTACGTGCTGTGTGCACGGCCGTATCGGGCAGCTCCCGGGAAGGACAGGGAATGCGTGTGATTAGTATGCAGCCCGTCCTTCTCGATGAAAGTATGTGGCCGTACGCCGCCCTACGCTCACCCTAAGTGCAGGTCCGTACGGGTGTGGGTGTCCCGACGTGGACGCAGACAGGATCCATCCTGTCAGCGTACGAGTACGGCCACCCGCAGGGACGTGCAGGGCGTTTTTTTCTCGTGTGAATGAGGCGTTAGGTGTGCCAAAATATATAGGTCAGTATATTAAAGCTGGACACTAGGCAAACCGTGTAGTGTACAAGTAGCGTATTGTCTGTGCCGGCTTTTTCACGTGTGAATGAGGCCTAACTCTTAAGCCTTGCTGGGATGGATGCATGTGTACATTTTTTTTCATTTAGTACGGCTGTGCATGGCTCTGCCACACAGCAACAACAACCATTCACAGATCCATTGACAGGATCTGTGAATAGAGAAACTGCAAGTACCAGAAGCTACTGCGACAGAGGAATTTGTAGTTCGCAATTAACTACAAGTGCGGTGGCGTTCTCACACCTAGTCCATTCATTATTCCTCTATTCATGTTATTGAATGTCTGTACCGAGGTACAGACATGGACAGGAGGAAGAGTTTACAGGAGCCAGAGCATTGCACCTGCTATCCACTAATAATGGCTGAATGCTTTACTGGTTCCTATGCAAAAAATAATACAAGCATATATTTTTTCTTTTATGAAGAGGTGTGTATTTCCTAGTTATGGATAGGGTGGGGAACTATCAGGACCCCATGTCAAATTTTCACTTCTATTTGGGTATCCATTAAGGAGATCTCCCATCACTTCCTGTCCTTCGGACAACGTTTTGCCAGACGAATAGCGAGGGGAAATCTGCAGCAGCAACATGGACAGAAATAAAAAGAAAAAAAGCATTGTTTTCTTTTATTTAAAAAAAAAAAGAAAAAGTGTGCATTTATAATTTTTTTTCAAAAAGGTGGAATTTCTACTTAATGCACAGAAATGCAGAAGATGAAGAAGCAAATCTTTAGTCCACAACAAAAAACAATGCACTTATGGTGGAAAATCTATCCAACGGGGACACAAACAGCAAAAACATTTTTGTAGCATGTGGAAGGGTCACAACTTACTAAAAAAGTTTTATTGTCATCTATGCCTTCTTCATGCAGAGTTACAAGGACAGAAAGTAAGCGAAAGTTTCCCCAAAGGGATCACAGACAAATAGAAACTTTGCAAATCTGAAATCTGCCCCTTTTCTATCTATAATAAAAAATCAATGCCTGGAATTAGGTTTTAAAGCTCCGTCCATCCAAAATGAGTATTTCAGTTTATGGTACATGCTTGAGACTTCTGCCCAGCCATGCACTGGGCGAATGCCATTCACATAACACTCCCACCACTAGATGGAGCTAAAGAGCAGGAGGCAGTTGTAGGGCAAAAAATCTGGTTTGGGCAAACTGCCATTTTTAGGCAAAGCTTCCACAGTTTAAGTCCCCATTAAACTAATAAATAGTTATTCATATCCCTTGGCGAGATCTACGAGCTTGAATTCCCCGACTAGGGAACCTGCTGTACTTGCAGTCATTACAATGTGGCTATTAAAAATTGCTAGGAGCTGGGGATTTTTGGCATACCAAGGCTCTTCCCAAAAAAACGTCTTCCTCTTTACCCTAGCAATTTTTACTTTCTGCGCACACGTTTGCATAGTACGTGCATTGTGCAGTGTACACTCTCTGCTCATTCCTGGTATCTGTAAGATGACCCAGATGCCGGGGACACTGAACACATGCACAGTAGTCACATCAGTGAGCCCCCAATGGTCGAGGAGAATCAAGACAGCACCCGGAAGATTCGGCAGCGGAGATAGCGCAGCAGTGACCGATGCCTAGACCTGTAACTGGTAGAAAGTCACTGGCACTCCAGAAACTTTTGTAGTCAATCTTCTTTATTGACCATCAAAGTGTCACATAACTTTAGCGAAATCTCTAGACCTGGTCTCTTTTTCAGGCAAAACAAAAGTGTGACACTTTGATGGTCAATAAAGAAGATTGACTACAAACGTTTCTGGAGTGCCAGTGACTTTCTACCAGTTACAGTTTCTGACATGCAGAGGCATCTGCGGTCGCTCCAGCACCCCCTGCACTTTGGGGTTTTCCGGTCGGGAGTGCGATGGCATCTGCCATATTCTAGGTGCCTGGACATGTCTTCGCTGAAAGACGGCACAGCTGGTGGTAGGTGTGTGCCATTAACTATATGGTAAAAGCTCATCCGTACCAAAGAAGCAGGAGGAGGAGAGGAAGTTTTGGTATGGAAAACCAAGAGACATAGGAAGCCTGTTAGGTGATTCAACCCAGTTGAAAATGTAATATCACATTTGGATAGCTGTCCGCTTTAAACATGCTGCATACAGCTTTAACAATAAATAGGGCATCTTCCTATCCCTAGAACAAAAGTAACTACAAAACTATAATCACATGTTTTTTTTCTTTTAGCCTTTTGAAGATTGCAGCTACTCTACCCCAGATTGAATTTCACGTTCATAGGACCCGTAAAACAATCAAGTAGCAAATGTAAAAATAATTATAATTTGGGTACAAGCACACTAACCTTTCTCTGTTCATCATCTTTGCAGTTCTGGATCTTGTCATCAAATAACTAGGAGTCAACACGTTAGAAAATAAAGATAAGCATTAAAAAGAAGATAAACCGGTGTAGCAGGTAATTCAAGAGGCAAACACAGCATTGGGACACGAAAAGTAAAACCAAAAGTAAATATGAACAAGGCAGTCCAAAGTGTTTCACAAGAAGATTACAAACACGTGAAATGTGTATGTATAAAACTATGTTGTTACAAGAGTCTCAGGAAACATACGGGAAAACAGGCATTGTTCTACAATAGAATGCAGCAGCGTGACTGACTATCATTCATCAAGCAACCACAGACCATCATTCAGAGTTTATTGTGAAGGTCTTCCTGATGATTGAAAAAAATACTTTTAATATTCATATACAAAAAAATAACAAACATAAAAAGCATAGGAACCCCTTCATTGGACACCCTTTTTAGGGGTTTTGGTTCACGTAAAGTGTGTGTGAAGCTGAACAATGAACTTCTCTTATTTTCTCCATTTTGATCTGCTCAATAGAACATTGAAAGAGTTTTGTAATATGTATTTTATGGCTGCAGTCGCTGGATGAGTGACAATTTTCCACCCGGCTCCTTGAAAAATTGCCTTCTGTAGAGCTGGATGGTGCTGACAGGCCCACCCATGGATATAGTTATGGCCGATACAGCAGGAAATGGCCAACGTTTGATCAGAGTATGGCCAGCTTAAAGCATAAGTGCACTTTAAAACAAAGCACATGTACCCATTTGGCCCCTTTACGGTGACATCACCAATCCCACCCTCCTATGCACAAATGAATACGTCCCAGGTTCAGCCAGGCCTGGCTTCCACTGTTTGCTTACATTCTGCTATGGACATCACTGTGCAGTACATCTCCATTGACTTTAATGGGGCTCGTCTTCCAGCTGGGAGATGGAGGTAGGCGAACTATATAGAACGCAATGGGAAAATATCGCACAGGCGCGGCCAGGAGACGTCCGAAGTTGGATGTAAACAATTAGCAGAGGCCCAGCCATTGGAACTCTGTAAGTATACATCTGTGCAGGGGGAGGCTGGGATTGGAGAATTCATCTTAAAGGGGCCACTTTGTTTTTAAAGTACACTTTGTTTTAAAGTGCACTTATCCTTTAAGCTGGCCAAGCACTGATCGGATATTTTGGACATTTGCTCCTAAATTGGACAAAATCTGATCCATGGGTGGCCTTGGAAGCACCACCCAGCTCCACAAAAGTCAATTTTCAATCCTTTAGGCCAAAATAGAAGGATGAGCCAAAAGGATCCGGTCTGTGACCGTGCCAAATATTAGGAATGCTTGAGGGCCACCAGATCAAGTGAGCTTATTGGACCATCCTTACACAAGATACTACTAAAATACAGCAAACCATCGCTGGAACCTACCCTCCCTCTCCTCTACTTCACCTGTATTTCGCCTACCCACCTTCTTCACAGCATTATGACTCCTGGTACATTAAAGGCCTGCTATATAACTTGAACTTAAATGACATACATACAAAAATATATAAATACGTTGCATTGAGCCATCACTGAACCGTAAACCAGAGACTCACCTTATCCTATGGACACAAAAGCGAGGCTTCGGGAATCCAGCACCGTTCACTCCCTCCAGCTGCAGCATCTAGCTTTAATGACACTAATTGCTGTGCCGAGGAGATTGCTCAAGCGCTCCGCTCCTTGCACTTAATGATCTGATTTCAAGTCACAGTCAACTTCTCTAAATACACCTGGAATCCGACCTTGTGATGTAAACAGGGATTTAACTGCTCTGTTACAACCGGTCAAAGCCAAGGTCTGCATTGCACAAGGCAACTGTGAGAGTGTTTGTCGCTGTAAGTCCCCATAGAACTAAAACAGAACAACTGATAAATATTTACCTCTGCTGAGGGATCAAAAGGTGCCAGTGAATAGGACGGGGCTCTGTGGTGTACAGTGCCCAGCATCAAAGTGATGCAGATCACAGGAAATTCAAGTGAATGTGCAGGTGTAGCTTTACAGCAAGTTAATGGAGAACTCCGGGATATAAAACAAAGTGTAATAGACACTATACATTGGATGCATTATAAATGTCTTATGAGTAATGAGGGCCATTTCTTCAGAATCACCCACAGCCAATGATTTTTTTTTTTTTATACCACCATAATTAATCTTTTAAGTGTGCCAAAATATATAGTCAGTATATTAACCCCTTAGTGAGCGAGCTTACAAGCCTTCTCATGTGATAGCAGATGGTGGTGACAGGTACTCTTAAAGTTATGCTAGGGGTCCAACAGATTCCTAGTGTAACCTTTACACTTAAAATAAGCTATTGAGGTGCAGATCATACTTCAATAGCTTATTTCTGGGCTTCAGGAGCCCAGCACTGACAGCTATGGGACTGGAAGTGATGTAATCTGCATCGCTCCCGGTCCCATAGTATGGGGAGGTATCGGTGAGCGGACGTAGGAGGGGCAGCAGAGCCCGGAAAACACGGCAGGGATGTAAATTTATTGAAGTGCCACAACATGACATTTCGTTTTAAGTCTAAGCATCACAGCGTGTTGATACATGCTGTAGTAACACGTGGCGAGTTGTGCTGTCTAAAAATGCAGACATACTACACCAAACCTCAACACAGCATTATAGTGAACAGGGCACAACAGTTTTTTTCTGTGTACCCTTGCCTAGAGCCTGCGTTCACCTATACAGATCAACACAGCCTAATGGATACATTAGGGTTTCACCGATACCATTTTTTCGTTATTGAGTAGCGATATTTTGCGTTTGGTACTCGCCGATATCTAGTATCGATACCAGTGCTTCTGCTGCCATGGAGCCGGCTTCCCGGGCAATCAGGAAGCCGGATGGCATGTAATGACAGGCTGCCCGGCTTCCGAAATTGCCCGGGCAGCCGGCTCAATGTTGTTTGGCCAGCGAGGTTGTGATTGGCCGGGAAACCGGCTTCCCAGCCAAATCAGCATCGAGCCAGCTTCCCGGCCAATTAGGAAGACGGGCAGCGGGTAATGACCCACCACCCGGCTTCCTGATTGCCCTGGAAGCCGGCTCCATGTTCCCCTATAGCACTGCCGGTCAGAAGAAATTTTCCTCTGACCGGAAGTTCCGGTGTTGGGGAAGGTATCGGAGCATTTGGGGCGAGTACTCTTTCAAATACTCGGTATCGGCACTGATACCGATGCTAGCATTGCTGCATCCCCAATATTATACATATATTGACTATTACCATATCTGTTCTCTCAGATCCAGGGAACAAAAAAAACCTATAACCGCTCCTTCATTGTAGTCTATATGCTGTTCATCATTTTAGATCAGAGTTATTCTTTTAATTTCTGCCTCATCTATGTCTGATATTTAACATACACACAGAAGCAATGAAGCAGGCTTTAATCTAACCCCTTCTATAAAAGGTGCTGAATTCAGCTTTATCACAGCTTATACAATACTATCACATAAACACTTCAAACAATCACACATATCGTAAAAGAAAACCAAGAGTGAATGGAGTAATCAGAGAGCGTGCTGAACGTACCTTTATCTGGTCAATTAAGATCTGAAGGTAAGCATCTGACTCGGCAAGCTTCTTATCAAAATCCTGAACACTTGGAACAAACCCGGAGTCCACACCCTGAAAAATAAGACCACACCATTAAACCAAGCCTGCAATTAGAGAGAAAGAGCGACAAAGACGTCTGCTGGCATTTGTGTATCTAAAACTCATCTACACAGACTGTAAATGATCAGACAGACAGCAACTTCTGACATTTCCTACACATAGGTAGATATGTGAGCCAAATGCAAACTGTATGCTCCATTGCCCCATCCACTTTAAACAGTGGATGGATAAATCTCTTCTGCCGACTACTAGATTCTGACAGCTGGCAACCGTAACTGTCAAAATACTCAAACAGTGACTGCATCTGATTGGTGCAATCACTGTTCAGACATTCATTTTCCGCCCAACTCCTTTAATGCTTCAATGGAAGTGCCAACCATGTTTAGAATTTGACAGGAATCGGCCAAAATTCTAACAGTATATGGCCACCTTTAGACGATCTGCACCTTGTAAATGGAAACTTATATACTGGATACATAAAAATCACCTTTGTACAGTTTACACTTACATTTAAAGCTTACAACAGCCCTCCAGAAATACACTTCCACCTACCTGCTGTTTTATCCCCTGATACAATGGTAGTAAGCAGTTTAAAATGCACTTTCACTTACCCTACCCCCCCTTGCTCCCCCAGGTTCTCCCATATGTGTGCTTGTCTTTGGTCCTGCATTGTATGTGATGTCGGAGTGCGACCGACGGGCATGGCTCCAGCACTCCTGCATTGTAAGTGGAGATCCCGAGGGCGCCCCAGGGTACCTCCTGAGGACACAACAGAGCACTGGCTGCCTGAAGAGCAATAGACCAGGCTAGTAAAACAATTTTTTAATAAAGCACTAGGAGAAAAGGGGGCATTTAACCATTGCAGTGCTGTGATTATTTCCCAGGAGTATTGGCAGAGTGCAGCAACAATCGTGGTGTCTTGGCCTTAGACTAGAGGACTTTGGGGTAGGGAGCGAGATTACAGTGTATTTACTTTATGATATTATGCTGGCTCACTGAGAATTGTGATACCGGCATAGTCTGAGATGTACAGACGAGTACAGAAAATAGAGCAATGCCATGGAAAGGAAGTCATTGCTTTTCTTTGTATAAAGTGTTTGTCCAGCAGCCTCAGACAGGGTGTAACCACACACTCCGTGAGCAGAAGTGTACAGCCCCTTCCCTAACAGCAATGTTTTTATACACATACATATTACTAGGTTCTAAACCCATAAAACCAACTGCAGCAAGGGATGACTATTCCTGTTACACCCTTAAAACCTTATAAATGGATGTGAACGCTCATCTCTCATTCACTCAGCAGAGTCAATCTTTCCTGCAGAACAGCAATGCATTGCCCTTGTAGCACAACACTACCCAGACCACCCACAGAGAGAAGCACAACATTTGCCTTACCATCTTTCCTTCATAACTCCACTTCTAAACCCATCACATCAGACCAATGCATTTCAGGAAAAACAAATCACCTGTGGACCTGTATCCCCCATACCTCTAACAGTTGATCCCATGAGGCAGAATTAAAAAGAAATACTTTTTTTGGGCCATGTGGTTTGACAGGGCCCACCCATGTATGACCAGCTATAGTCTCCTCTCTCCCAGTGATCAGACTGAAACAGTCTCTTTAGCATTTCAAAGCTGTACCAGGAGGCTGATCTGTGTCAAACATTTGTAAAGAACTACACAGAACCAGGATTTACAAGATTGTCATCTCTGAGCTAGCATCACTGTCCAGGAAGTGGATGCTGAACCTAAATGATATTTGAACAAAAGGTGGCTCTATACCTCTGGCAGCATAAGGAGATGAAGGCATTGCCAGAGAGAATACAACAATCTGAGGGAGCAAATACATACATGTAATGTATGCTGCTGTATGCCGAGTGCTGCTGTGAAATGCAGGCTTTACAGTCAAATACAACCGAGATCACGTGTGTGTGTGTTTAAACATGAAAAGGAGACTGTTGACCTGGTTTGTCTGCAATGTACCTGTATCTGCAACAGGACAGCCTGCGTTCAGAGAAATGCCTCAGAACTGGTTACCCACACTGCACCATTATGGCAAATGGGAATCTCCTGACCGGCATTTGACGTTTGTTACAAATGTGCATCAAACGCAGGTAAACAACCCCCCTGTGCACAAGACCTTACACATTACTAAATATATCTGAGGAGTTATAGAATCTGAATGACGAATGTGCTCACAAGCAGTTGGCTGACAAACTTGCCAGGGTGGCAGCAGAGGCTCCAATCAAAGACTGCTGCTGCCAGACTCCAAACAACGCATGTTGCCGTGCATGAAGCTGAAGAGGTATGCACTGCCCTGAAAAAAGCAATGCTGTCACAAGTCTGGAATTCGTTCCCTTTAAAGCAGACCATACACTATACCAGGGCTGGCCAAATCCCAGGAGCCAGGTCGCCAATGTTCCTTAACATATTCAGCTGGCATCCAACTTTTGTGGGGATTTTTATGGTTGTTGTCAAAAGAGCTGGCCCCCTAAAAATCCAGCTGGCTCCTGAATTCTAGATTCATTTCTCCACCCCTGCACTATACAGTCTTATTACACAACCCACGTACAAAACATTTACCAAAACTTCAGGTGGTCATAATAAACTGGCCACTCAGTGTATATATTGGTGTATGGGCACCTTTAGACTAGGTACACGAGCACAAGAAGAGGCAGAAAAGCATCAATCAGTTCACCAGATCTGATCAATACCTGCAGTCTGAAAGAAACAGGAAGCCGTCAGGTAATCACATGAAACATTCCTACAGGCCTTCCGGATTGTCAAGCGATGTTGAATTTTTGCTAGCAGAGTTCACAACACAACTATTTAAAAAAAAAAGTTTCCGTGTTCTGGTCACTGCTGACAGGCAGCCATAAACAGATGAACTCATTAAACCCAATCTTCCTCCCGTATGTACTCTTCTCACCAACCTTCCGTCTCTGTATGTCCCTCTTTCCAGCGAGCAGAAAACGGCAGCTTTACCCTCGTGTCATCTGTGCAGGGTAGAAGGGGGGCTGACTATGCCACGTACTTCCCAAAGGGAGGGGAGACTCTCTGGCTGCTGCTGTGCCAGTTCTTGGTCAATGTATACATATACTACTAAATCTGTCACAACAAGCTTCTGTTTAATGTTCATATTAATTGTGGGTAGCTTGGCACTATGTTATGTGCATTGCAGAGATGCAGAATGTGGTCTGAGGTTTCCAGAGAGCCGACATACAGAACAAGACCTTTCCTGTCACTACGCAGAACATCAATACTAATGTGATGAGGAGCCGTAAACGCAAATGCAGCTGCACAATGGGGATCATTTTTTTAATTAAACCCTCGCAAGCACTAGATATATGCAAAACGGAAAAAAAAAAAACTTTTTCAAAGGGTTAATACTTACCTGTGTCTTCGCGGCACGCTCCCGTCCGAACAGCTTAAAATGTATCAGGGGCCGCAAAGGATCTTGGGCGGACGCATGCGCAGTTCAGATGTTCGGCCGGGAGACGAGGAGAGACACAAGGAAAATCTATGGAGCAGCGTGCACCGGCACAGACTCCGTGGGACATGAGAGAAGAGGAGGACAGAGGAGTCAGCGCTGCCCAAAGAACGTAATAAAATGTCACTCATGACATTTTAATAAAGCTCTATTTAAAAAAAAAAAGAAAGATACACACAGAGTTATATTGTAGCTGCTGGTGTAAATACAGCCTGAAAAAAAAGCCATAATTCCCCAATCGTAATCACATTTCATTTTCCCTAAAGAGGCAAGAGTTTGAGAAAGTAACTAGACTTGGGGCCCATTCACACCAGGGTCACCACGTTTTAGCGCGTTTTCCACATGATTTTTGTAAGGGACTTTTTGTGCATTTTTATGCACATTTCAGCTGCTGAAACACAATTAAAAAAAACGCAAAAAATGCGCTGAACAGAGCATTACCATTGAAGTCTATATGGAAACCACGCTGATCAGCGCGATAAAAGTAGCTCAAGGAGCATTTCAGGCGACAGGCGTTTTGGATCGCGCGGTTCAGTGCATTTGTGTGAACGGTCCCCATTGGAATGTGTCGGTTTTTAAATGTCGGTGTTTCTGCATGACAAAAAAATCTGCGCAACAAAAACGCCCTGGTGTGAACGGGGCCTTATTGCTATATGTGATTGTTCTATTGCTCTTTTGTTTCAGGTCTGACTCTGACCAAGTCATCCTCCTCCTCCTCCAGGAGTTAAATAGCGCCAAGAGCTTGAGCCGTGTTTTACAATATAAGGAGGACATTACAGTTACCATACAATAAAATAATATCATTCTAACTCTGTGTTTATCTGCCTTTAACATGGAATTCTGTATGTCCAGAGGAAGATTAGACCGGGCTGGACAAATCCCAGGAGCCAGGTAGCCAATGTTCCTCAGAAATGTTTCCTCTACTTGTTGTCAATTTACCTGGCTCCCAAAGAAAATCCCGCTGGCTCCTGGATCGGACAGACTCCTTAATTCCATATTCATTTTTCCACCCCGGATTAGAAACTCGAAACGCATGTGAATGTGGCTAAACCTGTCAGCTACATCTGAACGAGAGAGGACTTGGACCCGGAAAGCAAGTTAGGTTGCAGATCATTTCTCCTGCGTTTAATAGGGAACACCAGGGTGAATGGAGCCCTCACACAGGGGTCTGCATGCCAGGAAACAATAGTGCACAGTAGCCGCATAGTTTGTTTTCTCACTCTAACTATAATGAAGATCGTCTCCAGCCCACCACATCGGTGAAGATTGCAGATCGTGTCTTCATTGGAGGTCTGCACTACTATTTAGGAAAACACAGGAATTTTAAATAAAGTGTAGTTATCCTTTAAATGATGAAGCCGTTGCCGAGCCTGCCAAAATCTAAAGTAATTTCATTTGACAGCACAGTGGTGGTTATTGTCTGTAGTGAACCATGCTGCTTAAAGCTGAACTCTGGGTACAAAACCTTTCATTTCAACATATTCCTCCAAAGCCACAAAGGATATAAATCTACGTTGTGTTT